AATTATTCCCATATTTAACTTTCTTCCATGTGAATGTATAGATTTAGGAGGAAAACAAAAATGTTGAGTGCGCACACAGGAATCTCTGCTAACAAAAGTTGGGCTGGGAGAAGAAATGTGATGGAGAGACAAAGAGGAAATATATAATAAACACTAGAAATTTGTAGTACATGTTTCTATGCTTTTGTGTAAATAACCCCATAAAAGTGTTGAAAAATCTACAAGCTTTAGAAAGAATCTTTCAATTATAATGATAAATATGAAATTATTTGAAAGAGCACTATTTTAATGGTTTTACATGAATTCATTGTATAAACAAATCACAACCAAATAGAAAATCAGTGTTAAATACTATTAGGTTTTTGTTGCTTTGGAAATAAAGTTGCCCATTTCAAATACCTAATAAAATGGTGATGTTACACTTTAAGATGATTTGTTTAGCTGTGCTAATTATATTTGCATATGATTTGACTGAATTTGAATTAACTGTGTACTCTATGTAAGAGCCTTTTAAAAGTGGTACAAAATCATGACTTTATTGTATTTTTTTTCTCGGTTGAAAGTATGCGAAGAAGTATAATTCAACAATTATTTGCATATTAACATAAAAAACAATGGGTATTAAAGAGGTATTGAAACACTTCTGAATTGTTTAAAACTTATTGTATAACTGTAGTAATCTGTTTAGATTTCCATATATTACAATATCTCTACCATTTCTTTAATTATTTCTGAATGGAATCCTTAAAATTATTGAAGTTGAATACTGAATACACATTAATAGAAGAGTGATGACATAACTTGCCAATTATTTTTAATATCTGAAAAACAATAGTTTTTGTGACGTAAAGCTTTATTCAAGACTTTTTAAAAGGTATTTTATAAACATATTTTTCAAAAACTGAAATGTTTAAACTGGTCTTAAATATGAATTTCTTTTGGAATGAATATATTGGGATTTTCTTTTTCAGTAGTCCTCTGTTCAGTAAGTTCAGAGAGTAAATGTCCTTCACAATAATGGATATTTTTTTTTGCAAATTGCTCTAAAGTTTTTAAATAGAAGAGTACACAATGGGGAAAAAAAAGGCTGTGTTTTAATGGAGATAAATTAAATATAGTGACTTTATTTTACTTTTCATTTTTTTTCTGCAAAAGATGATTAAATGTCTTATATTAACATGAGATGAATTTGTTTATATCTGAATATAAACTTAAAATATCATATGCATAAAATTTTAATTTCTTAAAAATTTACTTTTTCAAGAATTTTCAGAAAGGGGTTCATTAGGCTGACTATTTTCTCTTAAGTACTGTCATATTGAATTTTTCACTACTAACATTTGTTTTGGGACTCTTTCAACAATTTAAGGTAGAATGTTATTAATATAGTAGAACAAAACAAATTAACTTTACAAAATTAATTTTAAGAAGATAGTATAGCATAGCGTTAGAAATAACAGTATCTAACAATATCATAACAATACAGCATGAGCTTTGTACTCAGGAAGCCCTAGTTTCAGGGTTCACCATTGCTCCCTTATTAATTCTATGATTTGAGGACAGTAACTTCTTTGACATATCAGATCTATCACCAGAAATCTGAAAATCATAACAATACTTATAGTGTTTTGTGGATAAATAAAATAATTTATGTAAAGTGCACAGTGTATTTGATAAATGATTAGAGCTATAACATTTTTTGTACTATAATTCATATCATTTTTATATCAATTTCTTTGTTGTCACCACCTAGACCATGAGGTTTTACTACATGTAAAAAAGAAAGTCTATAGGAAATTGGCCTTTAGGGGTTTAAGTGCGTAGTCTTTTATTATAAGTGTTTCATGTAGATATGCTCCACATATTTAGATATTATTTCAACTTGTACTCTGTAC